CGGTAGTCAGACACAAATCACTTCAAAGTTTCCATGACTCAGAGCTATAGGGTGCCAACGGTGGTGCCCTGTCAAAAAAAAACCAAACCAAACCCCAACAATTGGACGGTGTCAGATTTTAAATTTGCTTCCCAAAGTGGCAATTTGAGACCAAATATATATTCCTTTTATATAACGAGTTTTCTGTTAACCGCCCACCACAGTCAGCTTATTTTTTTTATTATTTTTTTTTTTTTGCTAAAAGTATGTAGGGAATTCTAGGATCTTTCAAAACTGCTACCTGAAATAGGCGCCTGTTATTTTAATAATGTGCAGTAAATTAAGACTGTTATTATGAAAGAATGATTATTTCTTTTTCAAAGGGAGAAAAACGTTTATGTATGTGCTGTGTTTTTTCTCTTAATGGGTTTTTCACATCAATTAAAAATAAAAGTAATTAACTGAAAAGCCAAAAAAAAAAAAAAAGAGGAACATGTTTAGAATCTAGGTGTTTGACATAATGTAATTCTCAAGGTTGTTTGGTATGACCAGCATAAGGTAAACTAAGCACTTGCTTTGGAACTGACTCATCTTTGTGCCCACTTGCATCTCTGCAGGACTAGAGCCATAGATATTTTTACCAAATCCCCACCTCTGCAAAGGTGTCTACCATGAGTTTTTGTCAAGATGAAAACTTTTGGTACTTGGTGGCTTTCGGTGTTGTTCAGAGGTTAGGAAGATGTTGGCCCCTAACTTAAGGTCTTACTGAGTTCAGGTATGATGTTCTCGCAAAGGAAGAACGTGCTCCTGACAACAGTCCTTCATCTGCTTCATTTGCAGAATAGCTGAGAAACTGTGCGTTGTATGTGGATGTTTCCATGCAAAATTAGATTCTGCTCTAAACCAGTTGAGTAGTTTGTGATACACTATCAAAGCTGCACAGAAGCAACATTTTTATTGTTAAAGATTCTTTTGTAGCCTACAGCACTGTGCATATATCCCATAAAAGAGGTTTTGAAATGTTTCTTTTGGTTTTTATCTTCTGTCTAGCACAGCAAGTATATTAAAACCCCAGTAAAACATGCATGCTCACTTTAAGCCTCTTTTGCAAAGCATAGGGTAGTATTGCCTTAGTTAACTTTGAGCAAAGGCTGGAAAATAATATAGTCTACCTGTACTTATCTAAAAGCAGAGGTGAAAAAAGCAGTATGATAATTGGATATCCTCTCTGCCTTCTACCCATCTTCATCTAACTCATGCTGTTTGTATGTTATGCATCTCCAAGATCACTAAGAGCTAATGTGCAGCTGTAATCAAACAGTAAGCATGTAATTTGTGGACTTTTTTTGTTGTAGTGCAGGAAACAGATAATCGAGTACTTGATTTCTGAAATAAATACAACCTTAGAATAGCTCCCAACCCTTTTTAACAAGGAAATAACCATCAGAGAGTTGTATTACAGTGTGTGCCAGTGCTGCTATTACTGTACAGCTGTGTCTCTAGTTTACTTCATTCTTGCCCATTGAGGAAAGGCTTCTGAAATACGTAGCAGAAGCTTCAGTGCTGTGGGAGTTGAGGTGGCGCATAGTGTACGTGGCTTCTTGAAGGCCATGGGAATTGGATCAGTGTCTTACGCTTTTGGTCCTGTGTAGAAAATATTTCCTGAAATACTAGAATAGCTTTAAGATATGCAGATTTCTAGGAAATAAATAAGAGTACTTTTCTTTATTAAGTTAATAATTAAAACTGTGTTTGTAAAGAAGAACATTTAGATCAGTTAATTGGAGTATTTTTAATTAAAAAGTTATGTCTTTATTTTGAAGACTTGATAAAATAACTGCCAATAACAGACTATTTTTAATTTGCCACTGTCTTTCTGGCTAAATGGATAGTGCGTGCTTCTTCAGTGACCTGGAAAGGCTTCAGAAAGGGCTCCTAAATAATTAAACATCAAACAATATAAAACAAGTCTTTTTAGTCTAGAAGCACATTCCAACGGTGAACAGTTATGAGAGGAACCTAAGAGAAAGAACTGAGAAATTCAGGAGAATGACAAGGGGTGAAAGCAGTTTGCTGCACAGCAGCTGACCTGACTGCGTAGCAATTCTCGTTAATGAAAAGTTTTCTTTTAACACTGGTAAAATGGGCTGTGTCTGGGGCATACAGGGATTATGCTTTTCTCCATCTTCACACCACTGCCGGCTTTAACCAGCCTTACTTCTACCCAAAGAGAGATTTGTTGAGGCAAAGTCCACTGTGCTGCTCAGCAGGTAGGAGGGGATACGAACTGCTGCTGTTGTACCTTAGCTGTTCCTCCAGCCCTTGGCTGGCCTTAATGTTGTTAGTTGTCTAGGCAGTGTGCACCTCTCGCCTTTTTGATAAGGATAGTGAGGAATGGGTTCTGCTGTGCGGGGGATCAAAATAATGCTTGTTGGTTATACTTTGCCTTTGTATAAAGCGAAATTAGAAATCTGCATCTCTGCAGAGCCATCTGTGCCTTTTTGTTATCCTTCTGTAGACTCTCTAGGAGAAAATGGACTTTTTAAAAATCTTCCGTTAGAAAAGCTGTGCCAAAGAGTAAAATTTTGTAGATTGGATGGAGTATATCAGTTTTAATCTCAGTTTTGCCAATTTCATAGCTCTTAAAGTAAAGCATCAAAAACAACTTTATTTTTGAAGAGACTGTTCTGACAACAGTTCAGCTGTTTCATTTTAGTTTTCTCCCATCTATCCTTCTTAATTAGAAGTTACAGCGGCCCTGAAACCGAAGGACAGCTTTTGAATTCTTTCGTCCAGTATTTTGGTGACAGCCTTGGGAGGAAGATTAAAAGAATGCCTTTAATAGAAGAAACTGTTCTGCCTGGGGACTCCCTGCTTACTCTGCCTGTAGTAATAATAGGTGAGTTTTTTCACTTTTTAAGATTCTCTGTCACTGCCGTTGCCTTTATAGACCTGCTGCATTAAGTCGTTTATCATTAAATAACTAATGCTTAGCATCCTTACAGTGAAGATGTTTATTAGAGTAATACAGTTGTTATGATTAACAACAGTACCATAAAATTATATTAAGGGACTTCCTGTTTGAGTAAATTTGAATTCAAATTGTGTTATAACAAAATGAGACATGTTTCTTTGGCAGCAGATACACGAGTCTTAACAGAAGAACTGTTTTGATTCTAATGTTGGTCTGATCACATAGGGTTGGATTAATGTGGTATGTCTACTTCAGGTTGCATGGAGGTTGTTGATGGTGCACCAGGAGAAGTTTGTGATGTCAGATGGGACAGTGAAAAGCATAATGTAAAATGTGTGCTGTATGTTGATTGGATGCTAACCTATCATTAATTGCCTTTTTTTGTTGTTGTTGCATCCATCAGTAATGTCTGAGTAGTGTCCCATCTTTTCCAAAGTGAAACCAAGTCAATTCAACCAGTTTAAAACAATAAATTGTAGTCTTAATTAAATAGTTAAAGGCTTGTACTTGTAAAATCTTGCTGAATGACAGGATGGCAGAGGGACCAGACTCCTTAGGTACACAGCTTAATTGAGAGTGCCAGGGTGATTTGTATTGGGCCAAGGTTTCTCAGCAGCAGCTGGTCACCAGCTCCTTACTGCTGTGACTTGATGAGGGGATAAAGAAAAGATCTGGAGTAAAGGAGGTTTTCAGTAATCTAGTCCAAAGCTGTTGGGACCACAGCAAACCAACAGCTTTAACTGTACCTGCAGACAAGCAGAGATCACGGAGAATGATGTTTCAACATAATGTGCTCACAATAAATCTCCACAACTTTGAAAGACTGGTGTTTGTACAGTGCCTGTTCTCAAAGCTCTCTTCATGATAGCTTAAAATAGTGCTCATGTAACAGACTTACGTGGATGTGACAGACGTGAATCACTTGCTGAGTTCTGCATCATAGTTGAAGAGCAACAGTTTCCTGGCATTTTGTCAACCTTAGTATAGGTTTGCCATATGGTGAATGACTCAGTTTTCACTGTTTAGTTTTGCAAATATACATTATGCAAATACCTGTGCTTAATACTTATTTTGTCTAGAGCGCCCTTCTATGTGCTAACACCAAACACAGCTGCTTTGACTATGTCTCCTTGAAAAAGAAATACGTTGCCCAGATGCTTTTTCACAGATACATTTGAGACCGTTCACAAGCTGATCTTCTCCATTGGCAGGCTATTATCACTAATTCATTGGCTGTCTGAAGAGCCTTAAAATGGATCTAAAATGATTTAACTATGTAGTAGAAGAATACAAAAACAGTTGTCATCCCCCCATATACACACACACACACTTTCTACTGCTTTAATCTTCTCCGTGTGATTCCTGTATAGCTGGAATTAAACATACTTTTAGCTTCATAGTGCTGCCATCCTTTCATTGCACTATTTTGTTAATCAGAAAGAAAAAGGTGGCACATATGTAAGCAGTTAACTTAATGATGCAGCGATAACTTATATTCCCCTTTCTTTAACTTCACCATCCCCTTTTTCCCTGTATGATGCCCAATTTAAGATTTGATTCTAAGCTTGTGCTGCATATTGTACTGCAGTTCTGTGTAGAGTACTAAGCCACTGTGGTAATACTAAGAAACTTCTGTGCTATACCTGTTGTCAAGATATTGGGAGGAAACAGATACATTCCATTGGAATGAGTTGGGATTGAAGAATTTCATGCTGGAGCTCTAAGTCTAGAGGATGTTCGGTGCTAAATACTTTCATCTTCTGCACTAGTTTGATCATTACTGTGCAAACACAATGTTTTAAATTTTCATCCAAATAACAAGACTGTTACGAGGTTTGAAGTTGATTATTTGCTTTAAATTTAGACACATAATGTAAAGATGATTGCACTGTAGTTTACTGTTGGTGAGGAGAAGCTTCTGCTGCTGTCCAAACAAAATATTAACTGCTCCTTAAATGAACAGGGCTGTGTGGTTTAGGTTATATTGATTGTATATCTAAAGTTTGTGTAATAGTAATATCTCTCAGTTGCAATCAGAGCTGTTATTGGAGGCCTTGTGTGTAAATAAAGAGCAATATCCTCGGGTATAATTTTTTCATTTCAAAAACTTTGTTATTTTTCTTCCCCCTCTGTCCGTCCCGCCCCCCCCCCGCAAGGATTTTCTGAGAAAATCATAGCAAGTCTAATTGCAGACCATGCAGCTGAACCTTCATCTTGTGTGTTCCTGAGAACATGTCCACAGGGGAATTTCTTTCTCTTGGATTTAGTCTGCTCAAAGAATAGGAACTGGGTTTGGATCAGCTCTCTAGATGGTCCCAGGGGAGCTCAGTAATTCACCTTGATGTCAATTATTGGATACTTATTGCTGAGTTAAAATTAACCATGGTTTTTGCAGGCTGACCTAGTTTGGAAAACAATAAACAATTGCTAAGTTAAAAGCCAAAAGATGAAAATCAAAGAAACTCGTCTTAAGTGTTTCTGGTACAATTCCTGGAATGTCAGGGTCCAGATCAAAGACATACAGACTTAATTAAGTTGTCTTATGTGTATGGCCAACTTGTCAAAGAAAGCTGGGTCCCTTCAGATGCCCCTAGCTGAACTACCTTCGTTATAATACTAAAATAGCCACCTGTAGGTCAGGAAGACCCTCACCCAGGTGAGGACCCTTCCTCTGCACCAGCGCAATAGTGTGAGAAATGACAAAGCAGATATTATAATTATATGCTAATTGCTAACCAATCATTGTAACTGGGAGTGTATGATTACATAATTCGTGTGTATAAAAGATACTGTGGTGATGATTTCGGGTGTGCTTGATTTGTGGAAAGCCATTGAGCACCCAGCCTTGCGCAACTCTGAAATAAATAATCAGTGTCTCTCCTGAGTGCGTGAGAGTTGGCCTGTTGCACACCAGGTAACAAATCTGCTTTTCGGACAACCACATTAACATAATACCATCCTCAGTAATTTCCTTGGCCCTTGCCAGCCTTTGTTTTGGCAACTTTTGTTATCCAGTTGGTTCTTTTTAGTCTTATCCGGCAGGAATAATCTGTAGCATGGCATCCTGGGATATGGCACACATTTTTGTCTTTCTGTTGTGGACTAGCTTCCTTTACACCCCAGTAGGGAAAAAAAAAATCTAGCTATGCACCTGTAAAAAGAAACAAAATTCTTTACTGTGCACAAGATATAATTCTAAAAATAGTTAAGAATTTAGTCGTTTGTGGGAATGCTTGTGAACTATAGGTATGATTCGAGTGTTTTCACAACTTCGTGGGCTTTTGTCATGGATGGTTTCAATGTATTGCTAAGGTTCTCTCTCATGTCCATCTTATGTGGGAAGTGGGTGACAAAAGGGGCTTGCATCTGTTGTGAGCTTTACATTCCTGGACTGAAGCGTACCCAGCTATCTCATGCTGATCTGTTTGTGGGAGGGTGCAACACTGTGAGGAAGAGTGTTTTCACTGAAAGATTCTTTATGGTCTTTTTTGTAAATGGCAAAGTAGGAATTGAAGTGGTTTGGGAAATAATATAGGCAGGATCACCAATACTTAAACCTTTTATTACAGACTTTTGATTTAGCTGTCTTGAAGATTCCAGTGATGGAAATCCGTGGCATTCCTAGGCAGTCTTTTACTGGTGCTTTATGGTCCTTACAGTACACAGGCACTCTAATGCCTTTATTTTTGACTCCTTATTTGGGTGCAAAAACTGGATTGTTTGGTAGGTGTCATTGTGCAGTCTCATATATTTATTCAGGTTCTAGGCCTTCAGAGAAAACATGCTTATTGAAGAGTTGATATAACTTAACAGTCTCAGCCTTGAAGAACTCCTCTGTAGTGAGCCTACATGATTTTCTTGTAGCCCATGGCTGTGACCGGTCTACGCACACAGCATTGTACTAAAGTATAGGATATACCGCCACTGGGGACCGGAGTGATGAGTGTAGCCTGGTGGAGGAGGGAAAAAGAGATCCGATGTATGAAGAGACTGGGAATGAACAGGGTCTCAGCAAACTGACGGGGGATTTAGGGACTGGGAAATGAGAAAAGGGAGAAGTGGCAGGCGTTAGAGAAGTGGGATTGTTAACAGGTGATGGAAATACCGTGTGCAAAGGTGATGGGGAACAGGAAAAGATGGGTGAACTCTTGAGATCAAGAGTTGAAATGGTAGGAGGTAAGAACTAACATCCTAACAATGAGTGCTATATGAAAACATGAATAAATTAGTAACTTTATCTTTAGCCCAGAATTTGAATAGTGTATGGTAAATATCATGGGTGCCACTCTAGATGGAAAACAAAGACAAAATACTGAATAGTGCCTCTTAGGAGAACACTGTGCTTTTCATTCAGTTAATGAGGAAGAGGAACTATAGAAATAACAGTACATAGTCACATGTTTAAAGTCTGTATCATAGCACGTACTTTTCTGACTTGTGCTTTCCCTAGCTTTTGATATCTGACTTTGCAATATGAATGGTACTTCTATATTTGCATGTTATAAATATGGTCCCCTACTTTGTTTAATACTAGTCAAATAAATAGAAATAATTACCTTATGGTAGGGGTTTGGTCCCATCCATTTCACACCTTCAATAACATTTTGAAAATAAGTTAGTCTAAGTTGCAATAATGCACGTATATGAATTATAAAATGCTACAAAAAAGGATATAGAAAGATGTTTGAACTGATATTATTGCTGAATGGTGAATGTAGTCTTACATGGGTTTCTTGTACCTTACCACTTATCTACGGTATTTGTCTTCACTCAGCTTTTACATTGCTGTTGCGCTGTGTCTGGGGCTTCTCACCGGATTTGCAGTCTTCAGCTTTCTGCTTATCTCTTTCTTCCTTTTATTTTAAGGGCAGACCTGAAGAGCATATGGTCTAGATTGTCTTTCTGTTCTGTGTTTTACAGTACCCAGCATAAATGGGAACACAAAGTTGTAAGATGGCAATTATGTTCAGATATCACTGTGATTGACAGGCAGACCAGATCTTATCCATCGGACCATTTTCACACAGGAGTAGTGAATTTTATGTAGTCAGTTTTGCAACTCCTTTGTATGCATTTTGTTCCATGGTGTAAACAGTCATACATATGTTTCTTGTTATCCGAAAAAGATTTTGCTCTGTTTATTTGGAGGAATTTCCTATGGTAGGATATATTTTACTGTGAAGTTCATAAGCTACTTTGAATCAGGGGAATATTGCGTTATACTGCTTTAGTATGATTTTATTTCTGCTTATTTAGTGACTTCCAAACTTTAGATTATTGATATTTTCACTAAAGCCGTAACTTCTTTCTTTAATAGGAAATGGACCTTCGGGAATTTGTCTGTCTTACCTGCTGTCTGGATATAGGCCATATTTATCTCCTGAAGCTATACACCCAAACCCCATTCTACATACGAAATTAGAAGAAGCTCGACATCTTTCCATTGTTGATCAAGTAAGCTTTGGTTGCCATCTTGTCTAGCTGTTTTCCTACTGCAAGCTGGATTACAAAACAGTAGGCTTTCATTAATGATCCTGTTTAAAATGCTTTTGCAACTTACGTTAAGTAGTGCCGTAGACAAGAAAAGGCTTAATATTCTCACCCCATGAAGAACTAGACCACAGTAAAGGTCAGTAACTGTGTGGCCTCAAACAACTAGCTTTATCTCTTGGCTTCTCTTTCTCCTACCTGTAAAATAAAGGCCAGTATATACCTTCTCCAGAGGCTTGTAACAAATTATATGGAGGGCACTTCAGATGAAAAGCAATGCATTTTAAGAACTGCTTATTAAAAAAAAAAAAGTTCTGGAAATTGCATTGTGAAAAACCAGCCTACTTACCTAATTGTATTTCTAATGCATTAATAAGTTATTTTGTTATTCTGTTAATTTAAATAGAATCAACCCATGACCATTAGATCCAATCCTGAGGCATGTCATGGTTTTTGTGGTTCTTGGAGGCTTTTTGGTTGTGGTATTTTTTAGTTTTACAATCTGCCCTTTCTCGTGTTTTTACTACTTTGCCAAAAGTGTCTAAAGCACTACTTGGTCAGTGAGTAGCTGATGCGGGAGTTCCAGCTCTTGTGCCCTAGAATGTTTGGGCACTCTTATCAAAGAACACATGTTGCTAACGTACTACAAGTACACGTATTTCAAGTTCAAATCTTCCTAAATAGTACAATTCTCACTAAGACTTTATTTTTACTAACGTTAGGGACATATATCCTCTATAAACGCAACTCATTTTTCTTTTCTGAAGGGTATGCATCCTTCATTTTTTGCATTGCGCTCACACTTGCTCTTGTGCTGTATTTGTTATCCTCGTATACATCCAGATTTTCTGTCTGATTGATTAGTTAAATTTTCTCCATTATTTTTCTCCCCACTTGTCTATTTGTTTGCCATGTTATTATTGTCTTCAGCTCACCTCACTATACCCCTGATGGATTACTCGCAATGCTATCACTACCTGCATTGCCTGTGTGACTAATTTATTTGAAATACAAACATGCATATGTGTTTGTAGTGGGGAAGTAGGGGTTGTTTGGCTTTGAGGTTTTGTTTTGGTTTTTGTTTTGTTTTAGTGCTGTACTGTTTGCATGTAATGTTGATCTTAAGTCTCAAGGTTTACTTTTTTGGCAGGAGAGTAAGTTGCCTAAGCTTTTGGATACAGATGTTCCGTGTACTTCATCCTGCCCTGATCCCTTGATATTTTCCCAACTTAGGAAGCTGAACTGTCCTGTCTTTATCAGCAAAAATTGGCTTCATGGCCAAATCTTTCTTCAAATCTCTATTCTCTCTTCAAATATTTGCCATTGCATTGTGATTTTTTTTTTAGGACGTGGCTAGTTAATAGATGCTGAAATGTGAATGTTTTACAAAATTCTAGAAATTGTTCTCAACATTAACAGCTTTGTAAAATAAGCCTAGTTTTATTTATAAGTATTATTTTAAAAAAAATAACACCTACATTATTTCAAAATACAATAAAGTTAGTTAGTGTTCAAACTACCTAAGAGCTGTCGAAGGAGCTTTTTCTACTTGATATTTAAAACTTAATGGCTTTAGATTCCAACTTTGCTTTATCAAAATGGGGCTCTTACAAATACTAGCAATTCTTTGTTTCAAGCAGTCCACTATCTATCTATCTATCTAAATGTTACTGAGTTGTTCTGATCTTTGAATATTTGTCCCTGTATTTCTTCTACAATGAATTTCAAATACTGACCTGCCCCGGCATTACTGTGTTACTGACATGCAATTTTTAAATGAGTGAAATGTATTGTTCAGAGTTATAGATGAACTGAATCACGGCATTTATTTCTGAGAAGAGTTTTGATTGAATCTCTACACTTAAATACTTAAACTCTACTTAAAATGCAACTTGAACTAATTGTGTTTTCTGTTGAAATTCAACTTCTGTACATTAGAATAGCATGATGAACAGTAAAAATTGCATGAAGATATAATGTTTCTTTCATACTTTAGGTCCCCTCAGCCTCCTCCTCCTCAAACTAAACAGTCCCAGCTCCTTCAAACCCGGTTGCAGTGCTTTTTGATACCTTGCTTCATCCTGATGCTGACTTTGGGTATGACTACCCACCAGTTTTGCACTGGAAGCTAGAACAACATAATTATATTCCCCATATAGTGCTTGGTAAAGGACCACCTGGTGGGGCTTGGCATGTGAGTAAAAATTTCATACCACTTCTAGGGTAACTTGGCAATTTTGTGGTTTTGGGTTTTTTTTACTGTCTTACTATCTTTTCTTTGGGGGTTGGACTAGATGATCTCCAGAGGTCCCATCCAACCCTGACCATTCTGTGTAAGTCTGTTTTAGATAGTAGTGGCAATTGCAGTTTCGACTGCTCAATTACCAAAGCCTAAATATGTTCAGGAGATGAGAAAGGAAGGAAAAAGATGTTCTTCATTTAGGAATTTGTGACCATGACTGCTGTCTCAGTGTTTTTTTTATTAGTTTAAATTTAATAAATTGTAATGTAGAGTATTTTCTGACTTTTTTCTCGTCTGCATTGTTTCCAGGTGCTTTTTTACAAAATCTTAAATCTTACTGTGTACATATGCTGTTGGTTTTACATGTTTTTCTTCTTGTTTTATCTTTTAAATAACTTGCTTTTCATTTCCCTTTCACTTGTCTCTTCACCTTCTGCTTTTTAGATCATGTAGTTGCTGATTAAATTAGTATCTAACTGTAACACAAATATAGTTCATCAACACTTCATGTAATGTCCTGGTATTATGTTATGTTCAGGTGTTTTATTGCTCTAAATGAGTACAATGAGAAGAACTTAATTGTGTTTTACATATATATATCCAATTGGAACGTATCTGGTCATGCATCTTGTGGTTTTTTTTCTCCATAGTCTATGGAAGGCTCTATGCTGACAATTAGTTTTGGAGACTGGATGGAATTGCCTGGCCTTACCTTTAAGGAGTGGGCAGCTAGCAAACGCAGGTAAAGATGTATTTGGGAAACCTAGTTGCTGTAAGAATCCAGATAGTCCAGTTATTTTAAGAACTGGAAGACTTTCACACTTCATTGTTTACAGGAGGGACTCTTGTTTTGTTTATTAAATTGCCTGATGGCACTGAAAATTTTTCTGCTGTGTGTACTCAGATGGAAAAAATGGACAATGGTCGGCCAGAGTAATTGCTGTGAGTGCATTGAAAGCGTAAATACTAGCAGTAGTGTGTTTTAGCAGCATTTCACAAAGAAGCACTGTTACTGTAAGCAGTTTTGGTCAGAGTTTAGGGAAGATTGAGGGAGGAATTTAAAATCTACGGAAGTATTGGAAGTTCCTCTTTCAACATGGATGCAACTTAAGTTGCTGTACACACCAGCTTTCTTGTAATTCAGGAAGTTGTATGTATCAGTATTTGTTTTTACAGGCAAAGCTGCAGCATCTGGAATGTTGCTGTCTATGAATTTTAATTTTAAGAGCATAATTCAGCATTTCCTGATGTTATTTTTGCATAGTAAGTTTCTTGAAAAAAAATTAGAGAAGAAAAATTACTGTCTCGTACAAGCTCACTGTTTTTACTTGAGTTGTACAATTAGTTCATAAAGATCTGTGTCAGAAGATGAACCTGTGAACACTCTCCATAAGTTTTTTCTAAAATTTTCCTGCCTTTGTTCTAGCAAAATTAAAGGAAGTTGTTCTTGTACCACGTATGGCAAAAGAAGTGGTGAAATTACTTGGGCATATGTCTTTAAGGGCAGACTGTTACTCATTTCAGGACACTTATAGTGAAGAAACTGTACCTTTGTTCTTTAATCGCATTCTTAGATAACCACAGTAATCTTGTCTCCTTATTAACTGAAATCCCATAAGCTGCTTATTATCTGAAGCTAATTTGTTTATATTACAGTTTTCAACAATACTAAAAACAGAAATACTGACCTGTGATACTACAAAGTACTAATGATACCAAAAACTTCTAGTCATGTAAAATCGTTTCCTCAGTCTCATGGTAACAGGTGTCATACTGTTGCATTAACCTCTTCAATAAATACCTCATCAGGATTTTTAGCATAGTAACCTGAACATGTAGAAGTACATATGCTATTATCTTGTTAATCTACGAGAATGAATAGTCCAATTTCTTGTAAAAATGCTTTTAAGCATAATTCAGTGGCAATCCTGATGTTCACCACTGTTTCTTTTGCCTTGTTCCTAGAGCTTACTTCTAAAGAAGCAGCAAAATTCGTGCACCTGTTAAAAATAATTACATTTTCAGCTTTTTTTTTTTAATAAATGAGAACACAATAAATATGAGAAAAGCATAGATGTAATATCAGGGTTGCAGTGCAATAATGTTTTTTATTGGACACTTGGACATCATAATCCTGTTTACATAGTTGCATTAAGGTTCTGTGTCATACTTGCTTTTTTCATTCCTGTGATATGGAACTACTTAATTCGATACTTACTGAACTTACCTGTACCCAAGGGAGAGGTCTTTTGCAAAGTATAATGAAGAATATTTGGCTCAAGTAATATATCGAACCTAGAGTTTCAAAATTAGCATTTAACAATTACTATGATATTTACTTATATCCTAAGTAAGTGTATTCTCACTGAGTACAAGTTTAGCCAGTATTATATTGCTGTCAGTTGCGATGCTAAACTGGCTTTTTAAAATGCTTCCATACAGACCTACTGTGATACTGCAGAGTTTTGTTACGTTAAATTTGTTAATCGCCATAGCACTTTACATTGTAAAGATTGTACAACTATTAAAAAAAAAAAAGGTTAGCTTGTCTTGTATATCAGGAATCAAGAGAACAGATAAAACAAATTGAATGCCTAATTGAACTTAGCATCAGTTATACTGAGCAGATTCAATCCTCTTAAATTTGACTGTCATGTGGTGGGCCATATATGATATTGAAATTGCTGTAAGGTCTAAATATTAACTGGAACCATTCAATTTTTTTTCAGAAATACAAAGAGTGATCGAGTAATGCCAGAGGAAATAGCTCGTTATTATAAACACTATGTTAAAGTCATGGGCCTCCAAAAGAATTTCAGAGACAACGTTTACATAACATCAGTCTCCAGGCTTTACCGAGGAAAGGATGATGAAGACAGAAGTCAAATAAAGGAAAATATTTCAACACAGCATTTGGAAACGGAAGATGGACAGAAATCACTGATTAAGAGAAACTGGGAAGTCAGAGGTTATCAGCGAGCAACAGATGGTTCTCATGTGCCCTTTTGCCTCTTTGCTGAGAATGTGGCTCTTGCCACAGGAACCTTTGATTCTCCTGGCCGACTACAAGTTGAAGGAGAAGACTTTCCTTTTGTGCTTCATTCCATGACTGACTTCGGAGCTGCTATCAGCAAAGGAAAGTTACGTGGGAAGGCAGACCCTGTGTTAATTGTAGGTGCCGGACTTACAGCAGCTGATGCAGTACTGTGTGCCTACAACAACAACATCCCAGTAATCCATGTGTTTCGTAGAAGAGTTACTGATACAAGCCTAATTTTCAAACAGTTACCTAAAAAGCTTTACCCTGAATACCATAAGGTCTATCATATGATGTGTACTCAGTCCCATACTGTGGACTCTAATCTACATTCTGCTTACACTAGTTTCCCTGAACACAACGTACTTTCCTTCAAGCCTGAAATGAAATGTGTTCTTCAGAGTGCCTCCGGACTGAAGAAAATTTTGAAGTTTTCTGTAGCCTTAGTTCTGATAGGTTCTCACCCAAATCTTTTCTTTCTAAAGGACCAAGGACATAGCATAGGTCATCACTCTAATCAGCCCATCACATGCAAGGGGAACCCTATAGAGATTGATCCATACACTTATGAATGCACTAAAGAAGCTAACCTCTTTGCTTTAGGTCCTCTGGTGGGAGACAACTTTGTACGTTTTTTAAAAGGAGGTGCATTGGGCATTGCACGATGCTTGGCAATAAGACAAAAGAAGAAACATGAATTGATTGAAAGTGGGGATGGAGGAGGTGATGGGGTACCATAAATGAGACAGGAGAAGTTTTCACATACAGAATTACAGACGTAGTCTAACAGAACACTCACTGACAGCGAAAGTTGATAGCAGTCACATTTCTGTTGTATACAAGTAACCTGCGCTTGTATTGCTTGGTAAAGGATGCTGATACTACAATATTTCACCTTTTCAAAATACAAAAAATGGATCTGCTATTACAGCTGATCTCTACTCAACTGGAATGACTTCCAGATAAGCAGAAAATGAGACTAACTTATATTGACTGGCTTGTCATCTCTTGCTCAGCTAAAAGAGCAGACTTCCTCTGGGAAAGACAATGCCTACCCAGAGTGGCTTTACATTTTAGTGTCAAATGTGACAAAATATTCTTACCGTGAAATTAAAATAACTTCTAAAAGCAGAAAGCTTGCTTACTACAAAGTGATTCTTGGTCCCAAAGCAAATTTGGAGCCTTCTGCTTGAAACAAAGATTTTATTTATTTGCCATAGTAATAACAGTAATACTTGGAATGAGCACTTAGTAAAATGGTTTTTACCACAAAAAGGATTTATGTAAACAAGAAGTATTCCTCAACAGTTATAAATTATCCTATTTAATAATTGGAATAAAAGAATAAGCATTCCCATTTAATCTTTAACGCATGATTTGACACAATCCATTAATGTTTTTTTCACACTATGCCTAGAGTTGGGTGAGTGCAGAAAGACTAACATGAGATGTTCCCGTACAGTGATAATGTACATTTCTGAGAATACTCATTAACATAAACAATAAAGTACTGCTGTAAGTGCTCTTATTACAGTGTCCGTATAATGAATACCTAGTGTACTACTGAAAAATTAAGTACATGAGAAAACTTAAGTTTTTTTTGCTTCGTAGCTCAGGAAGACTGAATGGGATCACTTGACTGATGAAGGTGGGTGATAGATATTCTGATCTCCCATTTGACCAAGTATTGGTTATTTCGCTTTTTTTCTAGAGCAGCATGTAACACTAAAACTATTTTAGCCTGTGGTTTTTGAAACTTGAAAAAGGGTTATATCTCACAACCAGCTAGAAAATAAACCAACCCAACACAAACATGCCGTAGTTCCCATAAATCTTAAAGCTTGTTATGAAAGACAAAGACTTATACTACCTCTGAATTGAAGTTTCACCTTTCTGCTCCATAATGTAAGACCTAGATTTCATTTGCTGGGTTTTAGAGTAGTTAGTTTACCTAAAGACACTCGTGGGTTATTCACCATAGTGAGGTAAGCAACAGCTTGTTAGAAAATTTATCTTCCAGAAGTCTCAATAGACAAAGGTGTTTGGTTTTAACTGATCTATTACCAAATACTTTAATTCAGGTCCAATGCAGTGGGATAGATGTTATTTAATTTAATTTTTTGTTTGGGGCTTCTTTGTGTTGAAGAAAGTCATGTTAGTTTAAGGTATTGTATTTGCATGATTAAAATCTCCGTATTAGAACTTGAACAGATTTCCAAAAGGAAATTAGGCTTAGAATTCGTGAAACTGCTAGTGCTTGCTGGTTTCCTAGCTGTCTAATTTTCATAAGCTGTAGATACCTATATGCAATAAATGCCTGTTTTCTGTGCCTACTGAATTATGGGGTTCTGTGGCTACTGCAGGCCTTGATGCATCTGAGTAAGTTACTGAGACTTTGGACATAGAAGTTGGAAAGGTAAAGCATGCACGGATTAAAATGACTGTATTTCAATGGAAGTCCAAAGTAATTTATGAAAGGATGCTACTACTACTACTACTGATAAACTTTAGTTTAGAGCCAACTTAATAGCATAAAAATAAACACAAATGGAGCGACATTTATATTAATTTCTGCATTGCCTATGTGGTTGAATTTAACCATGCATTGTCAATACTAGTTAAGATACTTTTTTATACAGGTATTTGAGCTGGTGTAATTATGCGAAGTTCTAGGCTTATTTTTTTCCTAATTGAATTGAGATTCTATAATTTGCCTTCTTTGGCAGAAACTGTGTATATATAAATCTATCCTAAACCTGTGATACCTAATAATTTTAACTGAGAATCAGTGTTATAAGTGCTAAATGCTTGATTACAGAACTTTATTGCAGTTAATATATTGGGAATACATCTGCGCTGTGATTAAATTCCTTCAGTTTTGTGTCAATGTAAATGTCTGAATACAACATATCTTGGCATGTTACTGCTTTTTCATGTCATGTGAAACATTTAAAATGCCAACAAAACAAAGGAAGCAATTTACTTAAAACAGTTATTTTGCAAAAAGGTGAAAAAAAAACCCAGCCAAATCTCTAGCCTCAGTGGCTGCAGCTACTTACAAGCTGTGTGTGTTGTAGTGACAAATTTGTAGCAGAAATTTTTGTCCTGTTATTACACAGGTATCTTTCTCTGCAGTATTACAGCACCTTGACATTTAAGTGCTTTTTTTTTTTCCTTTTATCAATCTCGCCAGTATTTTTGAGATTAAAAAAATCGCATGAGACCTCTTAGTTGGGCAGAGAAATTTTCTCAGTGGTTATGTTTATTAAGCCTGTATAAAAATACTTTTTTTCAACCAAGACTTGACAAAAAAATCATCCTATTTCTTCTAGAAGCTGCTAGGTTTAAAGTTGTAGCTGAACTTTCTCACCTTTGGGTTTTTGATTTTGAGAGAAATTTCTGGTTTTCTCCTCTTTGGTATTTTGAGATAATAAGAGGTGAAAAAATTCAAGCTTTGCCTTAGGATAGTTTTACTTAAAGCATTATATGAGACGTACTGCATTTATTGTGGATTAGATGTTGGCACTGAATAGTTGTCTTTTGGGGAAACGCTCTGTTTCTCAGATTTAAAAAACCAAGCAAACAAAACAACCACATTTGAGTTTCCTGTATGGTATAGTAGTTCCCAGAAGGGAGACTGTTTGCTTCTTTCAGCTCTTTTTTCGGTGAGAAGGATAAGTTTTTAAACATTGTGGATTTAAAAAGGATGCTTACTACTTAAGCTTTATTACTAAAATACAGACAGGAAGAATATAATTTTTAGCTCAAGGAATTTAATTTGGGTTTATAGATTGTGAAAAGGTATGTTAACCCATACTCTGTATTTTCTGTTAGGCTAGTGGGAAAATGTGTCTTGCATTTGGGTTTGGTTCTTAATGCTGAATGTATCTCCCAGCTAAATTATTGCTAAGGTTATTTTCAGTAGTATCCAGCTGTTGAACTGGGACTAAGATTTGTCATAGCAGATTTCCCTAACAGTGTGCCTCGTATGTGATTATTTAACAATAGGTGCTTGTTAATGAAGGCACCTGACGGGGCAGTAGGAAACAGCACAGCTTTGCTTTTGGGTTTCCAGTAGATGATTGACTTCTGCTTAAAACATTTTCTACGAAAGAGTAAGGCTAAGTTTTACCCTAGTGAGTAAATGCAGAGAATCCTTTCTGCAAGTGATCCAGAGAGAGTTGTGACAGTAACATCAGATGCTTCTCTCTATTAGGAACACTCATTGCCGTGGGCTAGCAGCCTGGGCTTGCCGGGGAACGCCTGGAAAGGGCATAGCTCCCAGAAACGGCGCCTATACATTGACTATGGGACACCAAAGTGCGTCCCACAGCTGTAGGTCCCTAGCCCTCAGCACTTTGCGAATTGTTGGGGCATACTACATTTTCCTTCTGGCCCGGTGAGTGTAGGCACCTATTTTGTAATGATTAATTTCATAGTGATGGTTGCATAATGAAAAATACTAATTCTGTAGAAGGAGGTGGCTGTAGCTTCCTTCTCTCACAGCTCAAGAACTGTGAAAAGAAAACTAGAGCAAGAAATCCAGAGAATTTATTCAAAGCTAGAGGAAATTAAATTTAGACCCAAACTTTGAGGCTGTCCTGACCTGCATATCCAGTGCAAAGGAAGAAAACGCCATTTTTAGGTGAACTGCTTTTGAGAGAGAAAGAAAGGGTGTAAAATTTGCAAACTTCTAGTGAGTCCTCACTGATAGCAAGCAATGACCAGAGAGGAACGATGGAAGGAAAGCAGCAAAGAATCTGAACAATATGAACTGCAAATCTGTAGGAGCTGAAGTGACTCCATGCAGCACTGATAGGCTGGTGGTCTCCCATCCTCTAGTGTCAACGTCTGCACACTGGAACTAGAGCTCTGTGCTGGAGCTGTTAGTCTAACATGTTGCCGTATAGTTTTAATTGGCTATTAACTGAAGTTACACCACAGTGCAACACATATGTATAAACTAGAAGCAATTGCATTTGCTCTAGAAGCTGTAGGACTGGCTCAGTAAGGTGGAGTGCCAAGAGATGAGACTTGGTTTCTCTGGGGACCATATTTTCTACTTCTGAGAAAGCAAGCAGGGATTTTCATGTAATAGCGGAACCTGTGCGAGCTCCCAAACAGCTCTAAACAGCAAGATGTAGCACACATATGCCTTAAAGGCAGCTGATCATTCAATTTTAGTATCATCCATATAGTAATGATTTCCTTTTGAAGAAGTTACGGAACAAAAAAAATGCTAAAAGTTTATACTGTTACATTTTAATTTAGATAATATTTTAGAACCTTACGACAACAATGTCATCAGTTTGGATTATTTTTTGAGGTGAGAGCAAGATGGGAGCACAGTACCTCAACTGATGTGAGAGCTTTTTGGACGTTTACTTCCCCCTTTTCCCCTTGCCCAACCTGAAAGAGAAGTCATGCTTTCTCTGAAATGACCATAACACCTGATTCTATTTAGCAGAAACAATGGAAACTGAAACATTCCTTTACATCGAAAGGAAGGCTTTGGTGACATTAGGGGTACAAGCTTGAAGTGAGGAATTATGAACAGCTCTTTTCCTGAAAAGAGGAATATGGTACACTTGAGGTGTTTCAGTTTAGTTAATTTTTGAAGCTTGAATTACACAAGGAATTGTGAGGTCAAGGATGAATTTGGTGTAAGGAACCAGGATTATGGGGTAAAAAAGCATTTATAATATAATTTAGTAATTGTAGTGAAGCTAAGCACTGTTTT